TCATTAGGATTTTGAGATGTAAACCCTCGTTTTATCAATGACGGAGCCACATGGAGGCCAGTGTAAGTCCAGACCCGTCCTAAAACTTTTATAATTTATATTTGTTTTTCATAAACTCAGCTTTATTACTACCCTTCCACCAATTTGCTACCGCTTGACAATATATTATTATATTGCATGAATATAATGTAACGTCACTTTATAACAATTTCTTTTTTTATCATATAAAATCTAATTCCTTTTTTGGTTCAATTCATATTCTATCTATATATATAAAGTGAGAGCCCCAGTTTGGTGAAGCATTCGATAATCCCTAAAATACCCTTACTTAATGACTCTGCGTAAATCAAGGATTTAATACCAAAAGAAGGATAAAGAGGTAATAACATTAACTATTTGAAACCTAATGGAAAGTGAAAAGGAAGAGACAGTTGCCAGTTCAGTTATTAGTCCTACTCCAACTTCCCACGATCGAAACCAAAGAACAGTTTGACGATTCCCACGACGAAACCAAAGAGCAGTTCAACGATTCCATGATCTGAGTTTAGTTGAAGGTTCAACAACTGCCCACATACCACCGCTATATACAGATGAATATTCGAAAAGAGCCCAATTTTCGAAACCAGACTTCGGGACGTCGTCTTGGAGCCCATCCTCTTCACACCTTCGATCCCGGACGCCCACTTTCAAGAGCCCAATCTCCTGGCTGTTGCTCATCTTCCCTTCTCTCTTCCGATCGCCATATTTAAGTAAGTTTTCCATTTTGTACAAATCTCTAACCCCAACTTTCCTTTCCATTTAGCTTTCGATTTCAACCTTTGATTCAAGATTTTTTCCAATTGCAGTTTTTTTATTTGGTCCCATCATCTGCACACTTTTTTTTTTTTTTCCATCTTTGATACAGTCTTAGATTTTTTGTATTTTCCTTGGTTCTTGGGGGGTTTGTTCAAGTTCTCGAGGGATTTCAAGTTTTTGGGTTGATGATTGAATTTGGAGCTTAATGTGTTTTTTTGTGGTATTTTTTATAGAGGTAATTTCTTGGTGGGTTTTGTGTTTACTGTAGTCAATTTTGGGTTTTGTAGATTGAGACAGCAAGACTGAAACTCGAAGACGAACAAGCAGAGGAGGAGGTCGGTGAAGAAAAGAGAAGCAAAAGTAAAAGGAAAAAAACGTGAGTTATTTTTTATTATTCTCCCTTTTGAAGAGCAATTTTTGGATTTTCTTTAATTTGTGTCAATCTCCATCTCTGTTCTTCCACTTCCTTTCCACCTCTGTTCGGTACTTTTTAATTTAAAAATGTATCTGTAAATTTTTTTCTGAATTGTATTTGCTTTCTGTAGTGTTTCGAATCTTCTGATTGCATCAGAAATGAATTAATATCCGCAAATTTGATTTTTCATTTGCTGGCTTTTTCTGGTAATGGGTTTTATTCATGAACATTCTCATTGCTGCAAATTTGATTAATTATTTTTTGAACCTTTGGATGTTACCAAGATTTGATTTTTGCTAAAGGATCTGTCTAATTACATTGGTTTGTGTTTTTTTTTGGGTTGATCTTTCTTTTAATTTAATCATCTTGAAATAAAATTGGAATAACTGCATGTTTTCATTTCACAGTTTACTTTTTAAGTTTTTGGATAGATTGACTTGACCTTCACATTTCTGTGAATTTTTGCGTTGGTTGGTATCCTTTCTTCCTTATCATACTAGACAAAGGGTGATGAACAAAAAGATGGTTGCATTCCGAACAAATGGGGGGAAGTTGTGTCTAAAATTACCTCTCAATGTTATATGTTTCCTTATTATTGAAGTCATGGTATTATATAGCTGCAGTTGGTTAGGTGCTTACGATCTTTTGCAGGAAACATGATAATAACTTAACTGATTTACTTCAAATGTATAAATTGTCTGTACCAATACTTGATGTGTGATAAAGTAAATATTGTTATGGAGGCTTTATATTTTGACTTTTAAGTTCTTTTGTGTTTTGGTACCAATACTTGATGTTTCAGTTGGCACCTCAGTCCTCCCCCTGAATTATTTCAGTTGACACCTCAGTCCTCCCCCTTTTTTTTATCCTACAACTTACTGTGTCGTCATGTTTTCTTTTTTCAGGCTCTTTCAATTTTTATAAAACAGATTCAAGTTATTAAAACAAATACAATTCATGTTTTGTTATGGTTTTACATACTCATTGGTTGCAGACCTATTCGTCGGAGATCGAAGAAAAGGAAAGGTGGGAAAGTCCATTCTTGCCGTAGAGCTCATGTTGGCAGTGAACCTTGAAGAAAACGAAAGGTGAGAATAGCAGAACAGTTGGCTTTTTTCTTTTAGCACTGACTTATTTCCAAAAATTCCCCTAACCTTAATTAGCATTGGCACTTTCAACACTTTCGGAATGTGTTTGCATTTTTTAAATAGCCTCCTATGTTATAGTTATCAGGAAACATGATAATAACTTAACTGATTTACTTCAAATGTATAAATTGTCTGTACCAATACTTGATGTGTGATAAAGTAAATATTGTTATGGAGGCTTTATATTTTGACTTTTAAGTTCTTTTGTGTTTTGGTACCAATACTTGATGTTTCAGTTGGCACCTCAGTCCTCCCCCTGAATTATTTCAGTTGACACCTCAGTCCTCCCCCTTTTTTTTTATCCTACAACTTACTGTGTCGTCATGTTTTCTTTTTTCAGGCTCTTTCAATTTTTATAAAACAGATTCAAGTTATTAAAACAAATACAATTCATGTTTTGTTATGGTTTTACATACTCATTGGTTGCAGACCTATTCGTCGGAGATCGAAGAAAAGGAAAGGTGGGAAAGTCCATTCTTGCCGTAGAGCTCATGTTGGCAGTGAACCTTGAAGAAAACGAAAGGTGAGAATAGCAGAACAGTTGGCTTTTTTCTTTTAGCACCGACTTATTTCCAAAAATTCCCCTAACCTTAATTAGCATTGGCACTTTCAACACTTTCGGAATGTGTTTGCATTTTGTTAATGGCCTCCTATGTTATACATGCAAATAGTTATAGTTATCAGAACATCTATCTGATGTTTTACCTCATCCAACAGCTTAATTAGACTCCCACTGTTTTGGTTAGAAGTTAATTAGAAGAGTCTTCATTCCATCGACATCCTTTCCTTCACAATTTATGCTGAAAATTCATCGCACAATGTAATATGAAACGTTTAGTTGGCATGTTAACTTTCAGAAGCATGAGATGATCAACAATGAATGTGCATGATACCTTTTTTTTATCCTACTGGGTTGTCTTCATCTTCGGTCTCAAAAGCCTTCCTTAACTTTTCTTCATCTAATCTCAAAAGCCCTCCTTGCATGTTTCAGCTTTTTAGTACAGCTTTTATGTTTTGGAATTTTTTTTTTTTTGGCGGTTTACCACATATTTGGCTGAGTGGAAAAAAAAGTTAGTAATCATTTATGACTTCAGATTCCTTGAATGCTCAATATTTTAGTTGGAATGAAGTGGTGTGCTCTGTGATTTGTGTGATTCAGAGATAGTTGGAATTGATTCCTTGAATATTTTTCACTCTCTTTTTTCCAATTTTGTAATAAAGTGGTGTGCTGTGTGCCTTCTTAGTTCGATAATTAAGCTAAGTACCATTTGGAATCATGCTAAATAATTGATAGAAGCATAAACTAGATCTCATTTGGAATATATTATGAAGATTTATGCATCAATTTTGTTTGCAGACCTATTCGTCAGGCCTCAAAGAAAAGGGAAGGTGGGGAAAGTGTATTCCTGGTAATGAAAAGATAAGGGAGAGCCAGTGACAGATATTGGTGAGGATCCGATCTTTCAATTGTGTATGAATTGTTGCCTTCACTTGGTTTCTTTGAGGACTCAAAATTGTAATATGTACCTGTGTTGTTTTATACATGCGTTAAGTTCCAAATCCAAGTTCAGATGCATCTCTAGGTTCATTTCTCTCATTTTTAGAATCCTCAACTCCAAAGGTTACTGATAGGGAGCAAATAAACACTGATACACGAGTATAACTAGAAGAGGCATGAATGTAACGAAACTCCCAATGTCATATGTACCAGCCTTCTAAAAAACTCCCAATCAAGCTATCTTAGTATCACACACTCCATTATAAATGCTTACAATCACAGAGTTTCGTCACATACCCTATTGATATGTTTACACCTTTACGTTTGTAAATGAATATAAATTTCCATTTTCTATTCGCATTTGAAACTGATGCTCAAAACGCTACCCAGTATCGAACTCTATCCCATATTTCATCTATTCCCACTCCCTTATAATCATAAAAAAAAAAAAATTAAACAAATTATGCTCCAACCAAATGCTTGACTTTTAAATATTTGACAATTATATAATGTCCATATATAAATTAGAGGCATTCACATTTCCAAGTTTTTAAGTAAATCACTTCCATTAATAGGAGAGGGAAACAGCTGCAACTTGGACATTTGTTTAACGTCAAATAGGTGAAGCATCCTATACATGTTTAAGTAATACCCCTTGACGTTAAACAATTAGAGGCATTCACATTTCCAAATTATTCATTGCTGTTTGAATTTGTCATAATTAAAATCAAGTTCATTATTACCTGGTGCGTGTCCTATAACTTTGACTGAAAACTTATGAATCTGAAAATTTTGATTTAAGGACATTAAATTTTATCAACATGTATTTAGAAATGAAATTACATGTCATATTTTCAGATTTTTTTAATCATTTATGTTTTCCCATTTTATCTTCGTTGTTGTTTTAAAGGAAAAATAGTAAAAATTGTATGAGAGATTACTCACATTTGTGCAAATTGGATGGAATATATGCTGCTAAATTCTTCAACGAACATGGCAATATGACAATAAGGCATGCATAACGATAACACCATTATCATAGTAAACGAAAATGATGTGTAGATAAATGTTTTTTCTTCTTCTGTTCATAGGCATCTACGTAGACTTTTTCATATTTATGGAATGTAACAGAATTTGTATTCAATTTAGGTTCATTTATTTTTTAATTTTTTAGATAAATTTTTCCATGGAGCGTGGCCAAAGTCGTGCAAGACAATGGCGTCAATCATTGAGTCCTGAAGAACATCAAAGATATCTAGCTCGACGACGTCTAATAGCACAAGAAAAAAGACAACAAATTCCAACTCTATATGATGATCATACTATGACATCCCCCAGTAACATACAACAAGAAATTCCTGGTATTTATTTCATATTCCTTTTCCTTTAACTCATACTAATGCAAAAAAAAAAAATCTAATTTCTAATTTTTCTTTTAACTATGCAACAAGTAGGTCCCAATAATATACAAGAACGGGTTCAGTTGGCTAACTATGATGTTGAGGTCGACCCCAGTAATATAGAACAACAAATTCCTGGTATTTATTTCAATTTCTTTATTTGTATTTGTTTCACACTTAAAAAATTAGGTTATTTTTTAAGAACAAAATTTAGTGAATTGAAATCTCATTGTATTCTTTTCTTCGATACTTTCATATTGATCTCAATGTTGTAGTTATTTTTAGTGGTAGTCTTACGAAATATTAGACTCACAACTAAATATATTAAATATTAAAGACAAATTTTTTTAACTAATCGTATTATAATGTGGTCTATTTATTAGAACAAATTGAGCATGAAAGCGCGAATTCAAGGGTTTTGTCAGATATCACAAATCATGATGACCAAACTTCTACTAGAATGCGTACTCATATGGGACAGTTAGCACATTCAAATAGGTCACAAATATCTTATGGGATGCTCTCAATTCCTCCCCACAATGGTGAGCTTAGTATATAATTTTATCTGTATATAGATATGTGATTAGTTACAAAGAAAATTTGTTATACTGAATGTTGGATATTCATGTAAAAATATCAGAAGAAGAACATGCAAATAGAACCAATTGTCATGTGCGCCAAACCAGAGGAAGAAGAAACCACAATTGTGCTAGAAATTATAATGAGAATCGGGGTATCCTAGGTTGCCAATTATCTGCTCCAACCACATGTCCGTACTGCTATGCACGATTGTTTGCTCGAGAAACTTTGAATATGTGTTGCTTGAAAGGAAGAATTGTTTTACCCCCAATACAATCCCCACCAGAAATGGTTGCTCTTTTCTCTGACCAAACAAATGAGGGTAGACACTTCAGGCAAAAAATTCGAGCTTACAATCATGCATTTGCATTCACTTCAATGGGAGTACACGTGGATGAAAGAATTAATATTGGTGGTCGTGGGATTTACACATTTCGTGCTCAAGGTGCATTATATCATAAGATTGGTGGACTTTTACCAAATGAAGGGAACAGACCGCGATTTTTACAAGCTTATATATATGACACTGAGCATGAAGTTGAAAACCGAATGTGTGAAAGTGAAGTTTTAGATAGACGTGTGGTTGAAAAGATACAACATATGTTGAACAACCATAATCCTTTTGTTCATACATTGCGAAGCCTCGGACAACGCCAAGATTTGCCGAATTGCAAGTTGATCCTAAAAGAGCAACCAATAGATCGGCGTCAGTATACTCTACCATCAGCATCACAAGTTGCGGCAATTATAATAGACGGAGATAATGCCACAATTGCAAATGGAAGGGATATCGTGGTGGAGACAATTAGTGGAAGACTTTCTCACGTCCGAGACTATGTTGGATTTTATGATCCCTTACAATATCCACTATTGCTGCCTTACGGTACATATGGATGGGATGTTAACAGTCGTGATGATGGTGGAAGAGCAATAACATGTTGTGACTATTATGCTTATATGTTACAGGTTTGTACTGATAACATAATTTACTTCCCGGTATATATAGATGAATGATGATTCCTATATTAAAAGCAATATATGAAATTTGCTTTTGTAGATACGCCATAATGGATCATCACTTTTGCTTCGAGGTGGACGTCTCTTGCAACAATATGTTGTAGATAACTACATTAAAATTGAATCACAAAAACTTAGATGGTTGCGTTCTAATCAAGCCACTGTTAGAGCGGATCTCTACAAAGGACTTGAAGACTCTCTAAATGCAGGTCAACACAATGCAGGTATATATATCGTTTCAGTCATCGTTATTTAGAAATATAACTTTGTTTAAAGTGTGTACAATATATATAGCTAATTGAAAATAAAATATTATTAGGTAGCATCGGGCGTAGAATTATTTTACCATCATCATTTGTTGGAAGCCCACGTGACATGTACCAACGATATCAAGACGCAATGACTTTGGTTCAAAGATTCGGAAAGCCAGATCTTTTTATTACCATGACATGTAACCCAAGTTGGGAAGAAATCAAAAGCGAATTACTCGCTGGACAAACTCCACAAGATCGCCCTGACTTACTCACTAGAGTATTTCGTGCAAAACTTGAGCAACTAAAAGAAGACATCATTGAAAAGGGGGTATTGGGCAATGTTGTTGCTTACGCATACGTTATTGAGTTTCAGAAACGTGGTCTTCCACATGTGCATATGCTGGTTGTGTTAGATGAAAATGATAAGATCAATAACCCAGATGAGTATGACCGAATTGTTAGAGCTGAAATACCAAATGAAGATGTAGAGCCTCAACTTTATAATGTGGTGTTAAAGCATATGATTCATGGCCCGTGTGGGATTCATAATCCTCTATCTCCATGTATGAAAAATGGGAGTTGTAAGAGAAAGTTTCCCAAACCATTTGCACCAGTCACCGTTCAAGGGAATGATTCGTATCCAATTTATCAAAGGCGAGGAAATCGATTGCCCGTCTCACTTAATCGACAAGGAAACATAATGGTTGATAATAGTTGGGTCATTCCGTATAATCCATGGTTGCTGTTAAGGTATGATTGTCACATCAATGTCGAAATTTGCGCAAGCATAAAAAGTGTCAAGTACTTATATAAGTATGTTTACAAAGGCCCAGACAGAGTAACAGTTGAAGTGCAATCAGACCCTCAATACGATGAAATAAAGCAGTTTCAGGATGCAAGATGGGTTTGCGCACCAGAGGCATTATGGAAAATATTCAAGTTCATTATTAATCGAATTTATCCATCTGTTGAGCGAATGCAAATACATCTTCCTAATATGCACCAAGTTCAGTTTCGTGCCGATGAAAGCATAACAAATATTCTACATGATGAGAGTACAAGAAAGACAATGTTGACTGAATTTTTTACACTTAATCATGTGGATGCAGAAGCGCGACATTATTTATACATGGAGATACCATCACATTACAGATGGATTCAAGCTCAAAGAAAGTGGTCTAAAAGAAAGAATCGTAACAAGGTTATTGGGCGAATATATGCAGTTTCACCTGCTGAAGGCGAAAAATTTTACCTTCGGATTCTTCTTAATCATGTTAGAGGACCAACATCCTTCACAAACTTGAGAACAGTTAATGGGGTTTTGCATCCAACATTTAAGCAGGCAGCAGAACAACGAGGTTTGTTAGAAAGAGATGACAGTATTCGACAATGTTTGTTAGAGGCCTCCACAATTCAGATGCCGTCGGCTTTAAGAAGATTATTCGTCACCATATTGGTATATTGTGCACCAATTGGTGTTCGAGGGTTATGGGATGAGTTCTGTCCATTCATGATGGAAGATTATGTTTCCATGACTAACATAACTCCCACACTTGCTACCAACATACTCTTGCGTGAGTTGAACATACTTTTGGTTCAATTTAACAAGAGTATAAACGAGTTTGATTTGCCCCAAATGACAAGAGGAAATGAATCAAGTTCAGGAATGACGGGATGTATTGAAGATGAAATATCCATATGTATTCCACAACAAGATCTTGATGCAATTGAACGCTTAAATGATGACCAAAAAAGTGCGTTTAACATAATAATGGGTGCAGTTCAACGATCGGATAATGCAACTTTTTTTGTGGATGGTCCCGGTGGAACTGGAAAAACTTACTTATATCGTGCATTGTTAGCAAGCTTGAGAAGGTTGGGGCACATAGTATTAGCAACAGCATCATCTGGAATAGCAGCTACGATATTGCCTGGTGGGAGGACAGCACATTCTAAATTCAAGATACCACTTAGTCTCGATGCATCATCGATGTGTTCGATCGGTAAACAATCTGATTTAGCAAAGCTAATACAAAAGGCAAAGGCAATTATTTGGGATGAAGCAACAATGACGCATCGTCATGCATTTGAAGCACTCGATCGAACGTTCAGAGACTTAACAGATATTGACTTACCATTTGGGGGGAAAATAATGATATTTGGGGGAGATTTTCGACAAGTTCTTCCTGTTATCTGGAAAGGAACCAAGTCCGAACTAATCCAAGCAAGTGTTGTTAAGGCATCATTTTGGTCACAAATAAAGATTTTAAAACTCAAACAAAACATGAGATCCATAAATGATTGTGAATTTTCAGAATTTTTACTTCGTGTTGGTGATGGGAATGAAGATGTTATTATGGATGATATGGTAAAACTACCTGAATGCATGGTGATACCATGGGAGAGTGAGCATTCCATTAATCAATTAATTGCCAAAATCTTCCCTGACTTAGAGGATCATATAAATGATGCAACCTACATGGTGGAAAGGGCAGTGGTAACTCCTACAAATGAAGACGTTGATATGTTGAATGAAAAGATAATCAATATGTTTCCGGGTTTAGAAGAGACAATGTATTCATTTGATTCAGTTGAGGATGACGCAAGGAATTTGTATCAGCCAGAGTTCTTGAATTCAATCTCACTTGGTGGTTTGCCTCCGCACAAGTTAACTCTGAAAAGAGGTGCTCCAATCATGCTTTTAAGAAATATTGATCCGAAATTGGGATTGTGTAATGGTACAAGATTATTGTGTCGTGGTTCTTACCGAAATCTTATTGATGCTGAAATTCTAACTGGACAATTTGCCGGATCCAGAGTTTTCTTACCAAGAATCCCTCTCAAAAGTACTGATACTGCTGGGCTTCCATTTGAACTTACAAGAAAGCAATTTCCAGTGAAACTAAGTTTCTCTATCACTATAAACAAATCTCAAGGTCAGACAATACCACATGTAGGCGTTTACCTTCCAGATCATGTCTTCAGCCATGGACAATTATATGTGGCTTTATCGAGGGGGGTCTCAAAGTCAACCACAACCGTGTTAGTAAAAAGTGGCTCCATAGTAGGCCAACAAGGTGTATTTACACGGAATGTAGTATACAAAGAAGTCTTGCTTCATTCCAGCTAATTATGGTGATTCCTAATAGGTAACAGCTTTATTAACGATAACCTTTCAGTATGCATTTCTCACTTATCAATTAACTCTTTTTATTTGATTTTTAATTTTCTCACTATCGTTTGTAGATTGGCAATGAAAATTTGAAGCATCAATCATGAACAAATGGGTGGAAATTGCAGCATTGATGTCAATATGTAAACTTTCTTTAAAAAAAAAACAGTGACATATACACTCTATGAGTATTGTGAATAATGTACATATTGTTATGTAGGATTTATATTTTGACAATTAAATTGTTTTGTATTTTGCTACGAGTACTTACTGTTTTCATCTACTATTTTTTTTTTATTTACATATACTTGCTATCGTTCATAGGCTTTAGGTAGGAACTTGCATCTAAAATCGTATATTGTTTGATAAGTGCATGAATAACATTTAAATCATTACTTTACACAAAGTAAAAATGAAAAACATGATAACTTTTTAGGACGTGCATGATAAAAAAAAAAGTTCCTCTTTGCACAATACATTTAAAGTATATCTTGACAATTACAATGGGAAAAACTAACACAATACACCTTTAGGGGCGCGTAGCGCCCGTGATGCAAAAATGCCTCTCGCACGCACGTTAGTGCGTGCAGAGAGGCTAGTATATACTAAAACCCAAATTCGGGTGGCACTGTTTTAGGGCAGTGTGTTTCCCTTTTTGCCCCTGCTTGATTTGTTTAATTGCATTTGTGTCATGTTTCACACGTGTTGGTCATCGTGCTCCCTTCTTTTTGTTTTTACTCTTCCGGACTCTTTTGGTGTATTTTAACCTGGTGTCCAATAGAAGTCTCTCGACTTCTTCCTTAGAAATCGCAGAAATCCAAAAAGGAAAAAACTGTGCTCTGCAACCGATTAACGATTTCGATTTCGCTTCATGAGATTTGTTCGATCTTTGCTTCCTCATCTGTTCAATCTCTTGGCCGCGCCATCGTGCTCCCAATTTAGCCTTTGACAGGTAATTAAATCTCACTTCTTCTCAACTACCCAAAAGCCAAATATTTGACTTTTTTTTTTTTTTTTTGTGCTTTGTTACTTCGTTGTTGAAATTTGGTGGTGAAATGTCTTCCATTTTGTTCCGTCTCTTTTCCTTTTCATTTGCTCTCTCCATCTCTTCGTCTGTCTCTCCGTTTCGATTTTGATTCCGTCGTCTAGAAAGGCATTTTGGATTTTTTTGGCTGTTTTCCAGAAACCAATCCCGCCGTTTTAGGTGTGTTGCTTCATCCGCATCTTATTTTCTGTTTGGTTAGCAAGAAATTTTTTTTTAATTGATTAGTGTAAAATTCAAGTCTTGCCGTTTTGTGTTGAGCGTTTTCTTAATTTTTTTCGTACTTTGTGTGTGGATGTTTGATCTGATTTCATTTTTTGTTGCAGGAAACATTGGTCTTTGAATTTTAAGGTTTTATTGTACAAGCTTGCAAGCCCTTTCTGGGTGAGGTATATAATTTATATTTTTGTTCTTAAATCTTTTTCCAACAGAATTTTTAATTTTTTTTTGGTCCTGTTTCGTTTTTGGTGGGATGATTAATTATTGGGGTTTCCTTTGTCTGTTTGGGTTTTTAGTATGGGTTGTGATTTGGTTGTTTTTTATTTCCAGGGAGAAGTGTTCATGGTTTATGAGTTTGGATTTTTAGTGTGGGTGTATGATTTGGTTGTTTTTTATTTCAAGAAACGTTGCCGTTCGAATTTTATGGTTTTTGTATAGAAGTTTGCAGGCCCCTTCTGATTAAGATATATAATTTATGTTCCTCCTCTTATATCTTTTGTTGAACAAAATTTAAAATTTTTTTGGATCGTGTTTAGTTTGCAGATCTATTTTCTGTAAAAAAAAAAAAAATTGGTGATAATTAATTTTGGTACAGAAAATTGGTGATAAATAATTTTGGGGTTGTGTTGTATATGGATTTTTAGTGTGGGTAAATGATTTGGTTTTTTTATTTTTAGGAAGCAGTGGCCATCGTTTTTGCCGCTTTTGTATGTACGGTTCCAGATGCTTGAGGTATAGAATCTTCAAATTGCTCACCTTAAGTGGACAGCGGTGTGCATATGTAGTTTATCATTGAATAATCAACCTCTCATCACTAAATTATCGTTTAAGTTTGTTTTTAATTTAGTTCACAAATGAATCAACCAAGTTTTCATGCCATATTGATACGAAATTATAAAGCAATGTCGACCATATTTTGTTTGTTTTTTTTTTTTCATTCTTTTGAGATCTATTATTCATATATATCATAGATGATGAAGAATAAAAGAAATTAAATGCCGCTTTGGATGATAAGTTGATGTTGATGACAAGTACTATTGATGATACCCATCGTTTCTCATCTGTACTAATGCTGCAGGTATGTATATTATGTAACAAGTTCTCTATCAGTTTGTTAATATCCATAACCAATACAGGTTTTCAAACACTTACACAAGTTTGTATTTCAATGAAAAAATTCTAGGAAAAACAAAAGGAGGTTGAGCCCATCTACATAGGGAGTCGAAAGAAAAATTAAACTCAAAACTAGAGAATGAGAATGCGTCTGATGAAAAATAGGAAATGAACACATATAAGGTAATGTCACAAGGTGAGATTTCAGTTTTAAACCAATTGGTATAGATTCTATTTTTAGTTTCTTTTGCTTGATCAATTTACATTACTTTTTTGAACCAAATGCAAGTTCCAATATTGCATTGATAACAAAATAAATTAATTGAAATTGAAGCTTTTTCTGATTGAGAAATCTCTTTTTGTTTAAATAGTGTTACAAGTTTTGTCTTTATTATTTTGCCAATAGGTGGACTTAAAAAGGATCAAGTATGCAAGGGAATGGTAATATCAACATATCAAAGGTAGAGATTGACTCTTTCTCTCATGTTAAACTTATACTGTGATGTTTATTATTATTAAATTTTGGAAAAATAATTGCTTATCATAACCTTATCACAATACTAAATAACAGGGAGAGAGATGAAAAATAGAGAGGAATATATTTGATTGTATGTTTACTTTGGAGATTTTGGATAACAGTCATGAATTATGGTCTTAGTGCATCTCTATTTTTTTTCTTCACTTTTTGCATACTGTTTATAGCTAAATGATTTTTATTTGGGTCTTCCAAATTTTTAACTATTACTCTGAATCTCTGATGAAGTTTTATTAATTTTTTATTCATTGGTTTCAAGTATGGCCGTTGACTATGTGAATTTTAAGTTTTGCACAGTTAAAGAGACTAGATGGTAATGTTTCATTTCTCTCTTTCTCCCTTCTTATTTTCTCAGCCACGAGTCTTAATAAGATACGACTGACTAAGAATTTGTTAATCATTTTAACACGTATGACATAAGATATTTACTTTTTATGATACATTTCTAATTTTTGCAAATTACTTACTTGATTTACTATTGTTATATGGTTGGCAGAATTTTATGTTAAGTGTGTCACTATATTTTTGTAATAGTTAAATTGGATGTAATATGAAGTGTTGACATAAAACTAGGCACAACTAATTATCTTTCACTTCTTGAGATACAATCATTGTTTGATTTAGCCTATAACTAATAAATCTTTAATTATAATTGGTTTTTTTAGTTTACTTGGATCAGAACTGATAACCGTATAAAAAGGCAGTAAAAATTAAAGTCTGCTTGTTCTGATGACAACTGATAAATATACAGGTCTGCACATATACTAGTTGATGAAAAGGTGAGCAATCATTACTTAATGATCTTAAGTAATAAACACTTAGTATTGCTCGTTGAAAATTTGTTAATTGTTTCAATGCATATGATCTAACGTTTCGTAAGAAACACTATCTAGGATCTTTATTTTTTGGGTCAAAAACACTATTTGGGAGCTTTTTGTCATCTTTAGACATTGCTTGATTTTGTATTGTCAAATGATATATATTTTCATAATCATTGTGTTTGTATATTATATGGATTTATTTTTTATAATATTTAGTGTTCTATTCTTTGTATTAGATCTTTTTATACTTAAAACAACTTTTTTAAAGTGTTAATTAAAATGTTAATTGATAGTTAGTGTTTGCTTATGCATATTATTGCGTAGTATTTACTATGCACATGCATATTCATGTTATGCTATATGTAATGTTCACTGTTATTCACTTATTCACATGATATTTAACAATATTTTTTTCTTGCATTTTTTCCCATGCTGAATTGTCAAGCGACAATCAATATAAACGTATGAATTTTGTTTCTTCATTGTTAATCTACTGATGCTAGGGATAATTTAAGCTTCTACATTCTTAACATTTTTCATATTTGACTTGCAAGATTAGTGTCAATGTACACATTTCCGCAACTATTTGTTTTGTCTTTTTCCCTCACTCTGTATAATTTTAGTCAAATTGAACTACTTTTTAAAACTTCAGATTTAACTGAAGTGCCAAGAACTTAGTTAAATGAAAGTTTACTTTGGTTTGATGACATTTACATGATTATTAGGTCCACAATCATTGGATGCATTATCTTTTGTATGTTTTAATCATAATTTGTGATAAAATTTTCAATCCCGCAGCAACACGCAAGTGACACTTCCCGCAACAACGCACGGGTCACACTTTCTAGTAAAAGCTAATTCCCCATATGATCAAGCAATTCGAATGTCTAGCCTGATCCATCTGTAATATTTGCTCAGGGTTTCAAGAGTACTGAAAGTATTCTAAATGCTCAGAAAGAAAGAAAGAAAGAAAGAAAGTAAGTAAGAAAGAAATAATAATACTTCAGTATTATAATTTATTGGTATTTATCTTCATTTGAATGTGAGAGGTTTTAGATTCGATTCTCGTCAAATGCAAATTTGCATTACATTATTATTAGCCCATTGTAAGACTTAACTACCCCACCACCCCTTAATGTAGATAATATCATTTTATTCAAAAAAAAAAAAACCTGAACTAGTCCAATTTTGTCCTTAAAATAATTCATAGTATGGGTTGGCATATTAACATATTTTTCATGGAATAATCATAATGATTTACAGTGGACATACTCAGAGATCACTTCTCAGATACCAAAATGAGGATGTCAATCTAAAGGACCATTGGCTTCAAGAGCCAATAAAATATATACTTGATTCCAATATATACTTGTATAATTGGCATCCATGCATGTGTGTAGTACGTGCTACAATAACAACAAAGTCTTATTTACTAAATGGGGTTGGTTGTATAAATCTTGGAATGTCACTGCGCTCGGTTTTGCACTAAATCTTCTGTTAGCTCCAAACTCTATGTCTTTTCTTAAGGTCTCTTGCCAAGTCTCTTTCTGTTAGCTCCAACAACAACAACAGAGTCTTATACCACTGGTTGATGATTTCTTTTCTCTTACTTTGGCTTTGAGCTATCATTGAAGACATCTAATGGCCTGTAACTTCTTTCTCTACCATAACCTGGAATCATGTTTATAGTGAAGCCAATTTCTTTTCGGATACTTGTTTAGGCTAAAAATACTATGTGACTTATAACTATGGGCCTTTATTTTTACAAAATATGAACAGTGAAACCAACTTAAAAATATATACCAAGTCCTTGACTTACAACACAAGAAACGAATCAAGAACGAGTCAGTATCCCACTCATGACACAATCTTTTGATTAGAAGTTAAAATAACTTGTGATGCAAGACTGGAGGGAATACCATAATTCGGTGAAGTAGCGGTAACTTATGTAATAAATAATTATTTTTTTACAGATGAGACTACTTTTTTTCTTTCCATGCATTATAGAATTAGTTACTTTAGGTTTAAATTAGTAGCACTTTCCACATCACCATCACTTTATGGCTTGGTCACCTTCCGGGTGACGACCATCACAATTCGGTCGAGGTATCCAGGTAGATATTTTGGCTCAGAGTGTGTTAGTTTGGTATTAGAGCCAATAGCGGCATGCCTAGCATTCCAACACACAACTTGGGACTTTCATCCAGTCTCTAATTGCCATTGGCTCAAACCTTTGAGAGAAAGGAACTCTCAACAATGCCATTTCTAGCAATGGGTTTTCTATTCAAGATCCTCACATTTGCGAACTTTGCTACTCAATTGCTATCTCCCTCGATGCTTTTAGGCCTTTCCATAAAGTTATACTTTTAACCGGTGTTACAGTATACACCAATTCGATCCCTGGCTGTTAAATCTTTGACCACAAATCCAGCCCTCTACCCTCTATCGGTTGCTCGCAATCTGAAAATATATCCATAAAAGATCACTGCTGAAGGAGCCTATCCTCCTTGCGCGTCCAAGAATAAAGAACGAATTCAAGAGGAGGTAGGCAAAAACCATATTTAAACGTGATTTTACATCTAAAATTTGAATCTCTTTGTTGGAGATTTGCTCCGATGTATGTTGGGAGAAGTTCCTTACAGCACATTTAAGTAATCGTCAATCTTATCAAAAGAACACACGATCCATGTGCAATCGGAATTCATAATCATTCATCAAGAGCAAAGTTTCCAAAACAACAAACCGGTTAGGAACACTTTAAACTCATCCATAGCAAGATACATGAAGATTACGATCAGCTACATGTTACAAATTCCCCACAACTCATGGTACCTCTTAAATTTTTAGTTTCAACTATTTGTGCATTTCATCATGTGAAGTAAAGTACAAGAGAGAAGCTCTTATAGAGAGCTCGAGAGTTACTTAAAGGCCAGTGGACAAAGCCTGGTAACAGGCCACATAAAGAACCAAAGAATAAACTAGCTAACCCTAATTACAAGTTTTAAGGAGAGCTAATCCTAGTTACAAGTTACAATGAAACACAAACCCAACAATTAAGGAGCAAATTAAGGAACAAGTAGAAAAGTGGCGGCTGCAACTCACACATGTGATTGTGAGTTGAAGAAGCAACTTGAGCCTGTACATCATATCCAGTACATCACTTCCAATACTCCCCTCAAGATGGATCAAGAGGGTTAATGGATCCAAGCTTGCACAACAACCATTGAAACTATGTAGAGTCTAGAGCTTTCGTGAAGAGATCAGCAAGTTAATCATGGCTTCGAGTGTACACAGTGTTGATGACATTGGTTTGAACTTGTGTACGAATGTAATGACAATCAACTTCAATGTGCTTCGTCCTTTCATGAAATACAAGATTAGAAGCAATATGCATGGCGGCCTGGTTGGCACAAAACAACGACATTGGTTCTTTGCTGGTGAAGCCAAGATCAAATAGAAGACTCTTCAACCATATGAGTTCGCAAGCTGCTGCTGTCATGGCTCTATATTCAGCTTCAGCATTGTATCTTGCAACCACGGTCTGTTTCTTACTCTTCCAAGTAACAAGGTTACCTCCAACAAAAGTACAAAACCCAGTGGTGGACTTCCGATCAAGAGCATTCCCCGCCCAATCAGCATCAGTGTATGCCATGATGTGATTGGACCCATTTTTCTTCAGGAGTATGCCTCTACCGACTGAACCTTTAAGATATCTAAGTATTCTCTTGACAATCTCCCAATGAACTGATGTGGGGGAGTGCCTAAACTAACTGACAAGGTTCACTGAGTAAGCAATGTCAGGCCGAGTAATCGTGAGGTAAATAAGTTTCCAACCAAGCACTGATAAACAACAGGATTGGAGAGAGGCTCACCTTTGGCATCCAACTGAAGTTTGCTAGCAACGGGAGTGCGAGCTAGTTTACACTCAAGCATGTGTGCTTCATCAAGAAGATCAACTATATACTTCCTTTGATTTAAGAATAACCCCTTGGAAGAAGTGGCCATCTCAATGAAGGAAAATTTGTGAAAAACATGTTCATTTAAGCAACATCAATAGCATGCAATTAACAATTAAAG